GTCCTCCCTGGACTGACCTATCCCCTTCCTAACTCCTTACCTACACTAACCTTTCCTGGCCCCATCCCCGCCTCTTCGACCTGTTTGTTTCCTCTCCACCTATCCTCTCCTCTATCCCTCTTCTATCCGCCTCCCCCTCTCTCCCTCTTTATTTCAAAACCCCCTTCCCCTCCCCCTTTTCTGATGAAGGGTCTAGGCCCGAAACGTCAGCCTCTCTGCTCCTATGATGCTGCTTGGCCTGCTGTGTTCATCCAGCCCTGCACCTTGTTGTCTCGGATTCTCCAGCATCTGCAGTTCCTACTATCTCTGCATTAGTCTTTCACGTCCGATGTCTTTCTGATGAAGTGGAAGTGCAGCACAAAAGACGAGGCATCCTGCTCCGTATGTCTAAAGATCTGTGGTTCTGTTTAGTCTCATAAAGAGCAGGGCAGAAACTCACTACTAAATACAAACCGAAGGAACTGCGGATGCTGTAAATCAGGAGCAAAAGCAGAGGTTGCTGGAAAAGCTCAACCGCTGAGTTTTTCCAGCAACCTCTGTTTTTGTTCCAGAAACTCAATGCCCTGACTAGACGTTACTTAAATCCAGCAGTTGCCGACGACAATGGGGAAGGTGGCAAATGCACCAGGGAGCGTGCACATTCTTTGCTTCGGCTGGAATTAGGAGAGGGTGGGACGTTAATAACAACAAATTCGAGACAGAGGAAATGTTTCTCTTTTCTGATTTTTTTTTCCCCCCAGGACTGACTGTGGTGAATATTGTAAAATTACTTCACTGGATAATACATGGGGATTTGCGGACAAGAAACAGAAACTAAACATCATATGAAAATCTGACAGGAAGCAAGTGATTTTATCATCGGCCTTTGAAAGTAAGCATTGAATTCCAGATCATTACCAAGTGCTGCATATAATTTGTCCTCACATTTTCCCTGTGGCTATTTACCAACATTTTCAATTGGTGTCCCTTACTCTTTTTTTTATGACCAACTAACAGGAATAATTTTTCCTAAACTACTTTATGTTAATCTTTCATAAACATGTACACAGCTATCTCATCTCTGCTTAATCTATTTCACTTGAAGCAGACAATTTCAGTTTCCTCAACACAAAATGCAACTGAAATCCCTCATTTCTTGAATCTTTCTGGCAAATCTGGTTTGCCTTGTCACAGAGACCCTCCGAATCTACATAATGTGTGGTGATCTCTGATTTACACAGAGCTAGATGCTCAGTGTTCCTGTGTGTGATGTCACCACACAGTGACAATTGCACAGTGACATCACCCACTCCCTGGGAATTTCCTCAACTGAGATTTTTCTCTGATTCCAGTGTTTCTGACACCTTTCCAACTGCAGGCTCCAGCAGGAGATTTTAATATTGAATACAGTGAAATTATTTAAGTGATGAATGTTTATGAGCATTCATCATCACATTGAGGTTTCCCCATTTACCTGTGCTCTTTTCTCTGAGAAGTTCTGTGGCTGAAGGGTTGGTGTTGTTCCTTTACTGGGGATCTGAATCCATGACACTCCATTCACCTGCGCCCCCTCCATTCACCTGCGCCCCCTCCTTTTTCTCCTTTCTGCCATTGACTTAACTTTCTCTGTCTCTAGTAATGGATGTATTTGATCTCTGTTTAGTATTTTGCTGTTACTTCTGCTGACAGTGTCTGAATGAAGCTTCCATTGTTGTCCATCCTCAGACCATGTGCTGCTATCTTTCCAGCTCATCTTCCAACATGATCTTTCACAGTCAGGAAACGTTTCTTTTCTGCACTATAGTCTATTTCTCTTCTACTTCTGAGCTTATATTAATAATGAGTTCTACACCACTTTTGTTCTTGCATCAGATTTGCAAATCACTTTAAATCTGTTGTTGATCCTTTTACAAAACAGAACAGTTTCTCCTTATCAAATCAGTCCAGACCACTCATGGTTTTGAAACTTTTTTGTCAGATGTTGCTCTGATTCCTCTGATTCCTCTAATGCTCATAGATAAGAGATGCCAAATCATTCATAAATTGATGATTTAGGAATGTCCAAATGTCACATGTTCAAATACAACAGCAATTTGCTTTTGGAGTAGCACAAGGTAGATAAATCCCTGGGTCCTGACGAAGCGTATCCCAGGACTTTGTGGGAGGCTAAGGAGGAAATTGTGGAGTTGATAGTGGAGATATTTGTATCATTGACAGCCACAGGTGAACTGACCGAAGACTGGAGGGTGGCTAATGTTGTGCCATTGTTTAAGGAAATGCCTGAGAACTCTAGCCCGGTGAGCCTAATATCTGTGGTGGGTAAATTGTTAGAAGGGATTCTGAGAAACAAGATCTACAGGCATTTGGAGAGGCAAGGACTCAGTTAGGATAGTCAGCATAGCTTTGTGCGTGGAAAATTGTGTCTCATGAATTTAATTGGGTTTTTTGAAGGAGTGTCTAAGACAGTAGATGAGGGCAGTCTACATGGACTTTAACAAGGCATTTGACAAGGAATTACTTGGTGGGTTGTTGCATAAAGTTAAATCTCATGGGATCTAGGCAGACCTGGCCAATTGGATACAAAATTGGCTTGAAGGTAGAAGACAGAAGGTGGTGATAGAGGGTTGTATTTCAAACTGGGGAGGCCTGTGACCAGCGGTGTGCAACAGGGGTCAGTGCTGAGTCCACTATTATTCATCATTTATTTAAATAATTTGGATGTGAATTTAGGGGGTGTGGTTAGTAAGTTTGTGGACGGCACCAAGATTGGTGATATAGTGAACAGTGAAGAAGGTTATCTGGGAATAGTGAGATTTTGATCAATTGGGCCAGTCGGCTGAGGAATGGCAGATGGAGTTTAATTTAGGTAAATGCAAGATGTTGTATTGTGGTAGGTTAAGCCAGGTAGAACTTGCACCATCAATGGGATACCCTGGGGAATGATATAGAACAAAGAGGTGTAGGGGTACAGGTTCATAGCTCCTTGAAAGTAGAGTCATGGGTAGACAGGGTGATGAAGAAGGCTTTCATCATTCTTCTTGCTTTCATCGGTCAAAGCATTGAGTATATGAGTTAGGACGTCTTGTTGCAGCTGCACAAGACATTGGTAAGGCTGCATTTGGAGTACTGTGTGCAGTTCTGGTTGCCCTACTACAGAAAAGAAATTATTAAACTAGAAAGAGTGCAGAAAGGATGTACTGGGATGCTACATGGACTAGAGGGTTTGAGTTATATGAGAGGCTGGATAGGCTGGGACTTTTTTCCCTGGAGCGTAGGTGACTAAGGGCTGACCCGAAGTCTATAAAATCATGAGAGGCACAGATAATGTAGTCAGCCAACAGCTTTTCCCTAAAGGTAGAGCAGTCTAAAACTAGAGGGCATAGGTTTAAGGTGAGAGGGGAGAGATATAAAAGGATCCAGAGGGGCAATTTTTTTCACACAGGAAGTGGTGAGTATCTGGAACAGGCTGCCAAAGGTAGTGGTGGAGGTGAGTACAATTTTGACATTTGAGAAACATTTGGATGGGTACATGATAGGATAGAGATGGAGGGAAATGGACCAAATGAAGGCAAATGGGACTAGATTAATTGTCAAAACTGGTTGGCATGTACAATTTGGGCCAAAGGGCCTGTTTCCATGCTGTAAACCTTTATGACTCTGTAACGTTCCAAGGCATTTCACAAAAATGTTAGAAAGTAATGTATGACACTGGGCCACACAGAGAGATGTTAGGCCAAGAGACCAAACATTTGGCCTTATAACGAGGTGTGAAGGAGCATTTTAAAGGAGGAAAGTGACGTAAAGACAGGGAGATTTAGAGAGAAAAATTCACAACTTGTGGCCTTGGCAGCAGAAAGAACAACACTGATGGTGGAGTGATTAGTAGCTGCCCGAGTGTGTATTAGGATAGCTACACCTAGAAGCATCAAGGGATACAGTGAGAGTTTCACAGCAGATGAGCTGACACTAGGGGGGAGTCAGGTGATGTTACTGAGGTGGAATTGATAATCTTGCTGATAATGGAGATAGACGGTTGGAATATTCCCCATTGTGAACAGTCTGGTTCAGCTTCAGACAGTTATCAGGAGAGGGTCGATTCAGTCGTGAATAAATGGAATTTATAACAGGGAGTGTGGATGATGGTACCCGTTGTTTGACAGGTCAGGAAAGTGTGACTGGGAATTGATGGTGTTCACATACAGCTGCGAAACTAGTCCCTCTAGGTGGTGGAGTTTGAAGTTTGGGGAGATACTGTTTATTTAGACACATAAATCCTGCTCCTTCACTCTCTGCTTCTCCTATCTGTATCTCTGCCACCTCCTGTTGAGGTCAAAGCCTTGTGTAGGCTGAGAATTGTATGTTGGTTCCATATCCTGAAGAACATCAGTCTGTTCTGCAATCGTAAGATGTAGGAGCAGATGTTCACCTTTTAGCTCATCTGTTCTGTTCCACCATTCAATGAGATCTTGGCTTATCTGGTAATCCTTAACTCTACTTTTCTGCCTTCTCCCTATAATCGTTGCCTCCATGATTTAAAATCTATGTCAGCCTTGAATCCCACAGATTCACTGCCCTCTGGGAGAAGAAAATTTTTCTTAACTATGCAATCCCTTATTTTAAGATCATGCCCTGCAGTCCTAGACTGTCCTACAAGGGGAAACAACCTTTCCATGTCTAACCTGTCAAGTCCCCTAAGAATCTCATAGTATTCAATAAGATCGCCTGTCATTGGTTGATAATCCAATGTGTACAGGCCCAATTTACTCAGCCCCTTCTTGTAAGATAGATCCTCCATATCTAATATCAGCCGAATGAATCTTCTCTTGATTACCTCCAATGCAAATATATCTTTCCAGAGAAAAGAGGCACAAAACTGTTCACAGTGGTCTGACTAGTGCGTTACATCGTTTTAACGAAAACTCCCTGCTTTTATAGAACAAGAAGAGCAAAGAAAATTACAGTATAGGAACAGGCCCTTCGGCCCTCCAAGCCTGTATCGACATGCTGGCCAACACAACGAAAATCCCCTACCCTTCCGGGGACCATGTCCCTCCATTCCCATCCTATTCATGTATTTGTCAAGACACCCTTTAAAAGTCACTATAGTATCTGCTTCCGCTATCTCCCCCGGCAGTAAGTTCCAGGCACCCACCACCCTCTGTGTAAAAAAACTTGCCTTGTACATCACCTTTAAACCTTGCCCCTTGCATCTTAAACCCATGGCCCCTGGTAACTGACTCTTCCACCCTGGGAAATAGCTTCTGACTGTGCACTGTATCCATGCCCATCATAATCTTGTAGACCTCTATCAGGTCACTCCTCAACCTGTGTTGTTCCAGTGAGAACAACCCAAGTTTCTCCAACCTCTCCTCATAGCTAATGCCCTCCATACCAGGCAACATCCTGGTAAATCTTTTCTGTACCCTCTCCAAAGCCACCACATTCTTCTGGTAGTGTGGCGACCAGAATTGAACACAATATTTCAAATGCGGCCTAACTAAGGTTCTACAAAGCTGCAACATTACCTGCCAATTTTTAAACTCAGTGCCCTGGCCGATGAATGCAAGCATGCCATATGCCTTGTTGACTACCTTCCCTACTTGCGTTGCCGCTTTCAGTGACCTATGTACTTGTACACCCAGATCCCTCTGCCAGTCAGTACTGTTAAGGGTTCTGCCATTTACTGTATATTTTCCATCTGGATTAGACCTTCCAAAATGCATTACCTCACATTTTTCCGGATTATGCTTCATCTGTCATCTCTCTACCCAAGTCACCAACTGATCTATATCCAGCTGTATCCTTTGACGGTCCTCATCGCTATCTGCATTTCCACCAACCTCTGTGTCTTCGGCAAACTTACTAATCAGATCAGTTACATTCTCCTCCAAATCATTTATATATATTACAAACAGCAAAGGTCCCAACACTGATCTCTGAGGAACGCCAATCGTCACAGCCCTCCATTCAGAAACGCACCCTTCCACTGCTACGCTGTATCTTCTATGATCGAGCCAGTTTTTTATCCATCTTACACTCACCTCTCAATGCTCAATTCCCTTTGACTTCCCTCTCACCCACTGAACTTAGATGCTAGCTTTTTGAAATTCATGAATGAGGACTGCCAAATCCCTTTGTTCCATAGCTTTCTGCAGTCTTTCTCTGTTTAAGTAACATTCATCTCCAGTCTTCCTGTCAAAGTTCATAATTACATATGATAAGTTCTTGTCTACTCACTTAACTTGTTTATATTCCACTGGAGACTCCTTGTGTCATCCTTCCTACTTGCTTTTCCACCTATTTTTGTGTCATCTGCAAACTTGGCTATTGTACATTTACTTTCCTCATTCAAGTCATTGATATGAATTGAAAATGATTCTGGCCCCCAGTACTGATCCCTGTGGCATTCCACTAGTTACAGGTTGCCATCCTGAAAACTTGTCCCATGTTCCAACTCTGTCATTGATTAGTTCGATAATCAACTAACCACGCTAATATACTATTTCCGACACCATGAGTCCTTATTAAGTGGCACAATGTATTGAACCTTATCAAAGGCCTTCAGAAATTCAAATATATGACATCCACCACTTCCCCTTTGACAATCAAGCAGCTTTCATGGTCACTTATTCCTAATTTTGGCACCGCAAATGACCAGATTCAGCTTTCACAATATGTTTTTGTGTTGTGGGTTCTCACTCACCTGATTTGCTCTGTTTTAGACCAGTTTCACAGGGTGTTAAATGGAGAGGATTTGTAGTTTGGAAACTGAAACCAAACACCACTTCTGGATCTGATGGAGTTGGACAATTTACTTGAACCTCAATATCATCGGGTTTTGAACATGGAGGGAATAAGCGCCGTTCACAGTGGGGAGAAACCGTACACATGTTCTGCGTGTGGACGAGGCTTTAGCCAATCATCTGGCCTATCAAGACACAAATGCAGTCACACTGGAGAGAAACCATGGAAATGTGGGGACTGTGGGAAGGGATACAGATCCCCATCAAAGCTGGAAACTCATCGACGCAGTCACACAGGGGAGAGACCATTCACCTGTTCCACATGTGGGAAGGGACTAACTCAGTTATCCAGCCTGCTGGCACACCAGCGAGTTCACACTGATGAGAGACCATTTACCTGCTCAGACTGTGGGAAGGGCTATAAGAGTTCTGGGGACCTGATCTGCCATCAACGTCTTCACACCGAAGAGAGACCTTTCAGGTGCTCTCACTGTGGCACTGGCTTCAGGCGATCAGCTCATCTCATTGTACATCAGCGAGTTCACACTGGGGAGAAACCATTCATCTGCTCTGTATGTGGAAAGGGATTTACACAGACTTCCACCCTGCTGACACATCAGCTAGTTCACACTGGGGAGAGACCATTCACCTGCTCCACATGTTGGAGAGGATTCACAACCTCATCCCACCTGTTGAGACACCAGCGAGTTCACAAGTAATGACAGTGATTGGATTGTGGTGCTAATCGCATCCAGGACTAAATCATGTTTATCAGAGTCTACGTCTGGAGATGTTATTAGACTTCAACCCTGTTACACAAGTTAATATTCTAGATGAAGGTCAAATAAACCAGCTTTCTGTGACACAGAGTGTCAAGTCTTTTTAATACATCTAACTACATGTTATTTACTTCTGAAGGTTCGTCATTTCCCCTGTCTCCTGTATCCTCACCTCCAAAAACAAGTGTAAGGAGCTGATGGAGCTTCTTTGTCACTATGATTGAGACAATCTCATCAGCTGTCTGTGTTGATGTCCTCCTATGCACAGGTCTACTGCCAAACTATGTTGAATGTCCTCCCTAACTAAGCTGTGAACCACATGTTTCACCAGTTTCTGTCTCATGTCCCCTCATTTACTGCTGGCACTGACCTTGTCCACGAGACCCACTTCCTCATCCCTCAATTTTCTTCCCCCGAACTACTGAGTCTATCTGCCAAACTGCCATGTTCACTGATATTGTTCATGGTTCTCTCTCTCTCTCTCTCTCTCAGGGATTGTCCCAATTCCGTTTCCATCTGCCGTCATCAACTGCTTCTCAGTGCGAAAGCATAACTGTTGGTTTTTGCATTATTCCAAAACTTTGTCCCATCTCAAATTTCTGTTTTTTTCTCAGAATATTTTGACTCCTTCCAAATCTGTCTATCTTTCCCAGAACTCTGTTTCAATCCCTCAATCATATTTCTGCCCCTACCACACAAGCAAACTCTTGGTGAAGTCACCATTGACAGCCTGTGTGACTGATGAAAATAAGCTATTCTTCCTTGTCCTTCTCACCCTGTGGGCAGCCTTTTACCACTCCAGTACATCTTCACTATTGTCATTCTGGGTGACCCTGCACTCTTCTGGTTCCTTGCTGATCTGGCAAGTCACAGCAGAGTATCACCTGCTATGTATTATCTTCCTGTAGCCACACTATTACCTCGAGTATCCCTGTCCTTGGTCTCCTCCTCTTCCGCATCTAAATGCTGCTGCTCAAAGATATCATTTGAAAACACTCCCAGATTTCATGTATAGCTAATGATACTAACACTTCTCAACTCTTCCTCTATTGTGAAGTTCTGAGACGGTTTCCCTCATGGCAGGATTTGAGATTATCTTCCTGTACCCACACCATTACTTCTGGCGTCCCTGTCCTTGGTCTCCTTTCTCGTCTAAATGCTGCTGCTTGAGGATATCATTTGAAAACATTACCAACTTTCACATGTAAAGACTGAATAGGCTAGGACTTTTTTCACTGGAACTTAAGAGCCTGAGAGATGACCTTATAGAAATATATAAAATAATAAGGCATATAGATAGAGTTAGTAGTAGTTGACTTTTCCTAGGATGGTGAATTTAAGACTGGGGGGAGGGAGGGCGTGGGTGACTTTTTTAAGGTGAGAGATATAAAAAAAGACATGAGGGGCAAATTTTTTGCACATGGGATATTTCATGTGTGGAATGAACTTCTTGAAGAAGTGATTGATGTGGGTACAATTACAACATGAAAAAGACATTTGGATAAGTATATGAATGGGAAAGTTTGGAGGGATATGGGGCAGGAGCAGGCAGTTGGGACTAGTTTAGTTTGGGATTATGGTCAGCATAAACTGGTTAGACCAAAGGGTCTGTTTCCATTTTCCAACACTCAATGTAGCTGATGATATTAATGCCTCTCGCAACTCTTCCACTATTGCAAAATTCTCAGACTATTTCCCTCATGGCGGGATTCGAGATTATCTTCCTGTACCCACACCATTACCTCTGGTATCCCTGTCCTTGGTCTCCTATTCCTTCTCATTTAAATGCTGCTGCTCAAGGATATCATCTGAAAACACTGCCAAATTTCACATGTAGCTAATGACACTAACAATTGTCGTAACTCTTCCACTGCTGTGAAATTCTCAGACAATTTCACTCATGGCAGGATTCGAACACAGGCCCCAAGAACATCACCTGGATTAATAGTATGACAAATAATGTCACTGGTCTGTTGCCTCAGCACAAATTAATGAATCCTTTCCCACAGTCAAGTCAGGTAAATGGTTTCTTCCCAGTGCATCAATGAGTTTCCAGCTTAGACAGGGAACTGAATCCCTTCCCACAGTCCCCACAATTCCGTAGTTTCTCCCAGTGTGACTGCATTTATGTTCTGACAGATTAGATGATTGGTTGACAACATGTACACACTGAACACTATGGTTTCTCCCCATGGGAACATTGCTTTTATCTTCCAGGCTGCGATATTAAACCTGGCTAAAGTCATTATTAGTTTCAGAGGATGTTCTAAAAGGACAGAGTGGTGACCAGGGCAGCCAGAGGTGAAACAGCACCAATGGATATGGATCCATTTTAACAGTAAAGGAATCATACCAGGTCCATTGTCACCTTGCAATTGATACTGCATGATAACATCACTCACAGGTCAGTGTAAACCAGAAATCACCACACATTATGAAGGATGGGAGGGTGTCTTAGATGGCACAGAAGAGGTTTATCCAAATACTTCAATATATGATAAATTTTCATTAGAAAGTTTAGTTGGGGAATTGGGTTGTTCTTCTTAAAACAAAGGAGTTTGAGTGGACAATTTAAAGAGGTGTAGAACTTTATGATTTGTATTGGATAAGATGGATAAAGATCAGCTGTTGTAGTCATGGGTAAGAAAGCTTTTCCTTTACGTAAGACCTAGACCTAAATACTTATACTCAAGTGTCAATAATATTTATGCCCTGGAACCCAATTCTTATACTCAAAAGTGCAAAATAGCCAGGTCCTGATGAATCAAGTGATTCATGTAACATAATGTTTAGTTTGAGTTTGCTGACAGCTAATCTTCTCATAGCCTGTAAATGAACTTTACAAAATTCCTCAGCCAGTCCAAAATAAAAATTCAGAACAATCAGATATTTATTATAATTTCAGCTTTCAAGTATAACTCTTCCCCTTCCATCCTCCTATCAAACGAGGTTCTGAAATCCATCAGTATCATGAATGTAAAGCCAGAAGCAACAAACACTTGTTCTGTGTTTGCTGTGTGTAAATCCTCCACTTCCAACCCGCTGCAAAGGTTTTCATAAACCATCGTTTTCAGTTTAGGACAGAAATTCACAACATCCCCTCCTGGCCCAAAATGACTACATATGCTTCCTGCTGCACATTACCTCCCCATTGTGCTCGCGGTTCCTTGATTTGAGGATGACTCAGGGTCATGAGTTTCTGTCCTGGATCTTCATGTGACCGGTCACAGCATGTCATTGGGCATATGGAGCAGGATGTCCCATGAGGTAGTGTGATGTGGAAAGCAAGATGTACTTCCTTTTCATTCCTTTTGTGCCGCTGCTCTGCCCCATTAATAAGACATTGATTGTGAAAGGCTAATGCAGCTTGATGGACAAATTGTGTAGATTCTGAACAACGGCAGCAATGCATTGCTCTTTCTACCCTCTTTTAATTTCAAGCTTTGTTCATTTTCAGCTTACCCCTTTCCATTGCTACTTTATTTTAATTGTCTTAAATTCAGCAAATTTCACTGCCACTAAGAGCTCCCACTTTATCATCTCAGCTCATGGTAAAATTACCCACATAAAATCACAGAGTGAAACCTGGCTTGGTGGACTATAAGATGAGAGAGAACATGAAAAAAAAGAGACACATGACTTAGCAGGAAGAGTCAACACAGTGTTGAGCTGGAGGAACACAGCAGGTCAGCAGCATCAGAGGAACAAGTAAGTCAACGTTTCGGGTCAGGGCCCTTCATCAGAACGATGATGTTCTGATGAAGGCTCCTGACCTGAAACACCAACTTTCCTGTTCCTCTGATGCTGCCTGACCTGCTGTGTTCCTCCAGCTCCACACTGTGTTGACTCTGACTCCAGCGTCTGGGGTTCTAGCTATCACTTAGCAGGAAGAGTTGGATTGTCCATAGTTTAATGAGAATAGGGTTAAGATGAGCTCTGACAGGGCATGAGGAGAGACAGCAGAGAAAACTGGAGAAATATACAAGTTCAGAGGTCTGACAAAGAGGAACACTGGAGACAATTTGGTCTAGTGGTGTAGATTGTCATTTTGTGGCTAAGAAGCTCCATAAGTTCCTAGCGCTTGTTGGAGGTGAGGATAGAGGAGTCAGCAGAGGGAGAGCCCTTTAAAAGGAAACAACTTACATTAGTGGTTTAAAAAAGATTTGAGATATCATGTGTTTAATACAAAGCTGATTTATTTGACTTTCACCCAGAATATTAAAACCTATAACTGAAGTGAAATTTATTGTCATCAGGAGAAACAGACCCTGATGGAATGGGTTCACTCCCGAATATGATCTACAGCAAAATGCAATCTCTCTGGTTGCTTGTAAACTTGCTGGTGTGTCAGCTGGCTGGCTCATTGAATCTTTTCCCACAGGTGAACAACCTGTCTCCTGTGTGAAGATTACAGTGTCATAGCAGTTGAGATAACTGAGTGAATCCCTAACCATACTCATTGAAAATGAATGGCCTCTCTCCAGTGAGCTTGCTGGTGTACAAAGAGATCAGATGACTGCTTGAACCCAGTTGTACAGTGACAGCACCTTAAGGATCTCATCGGTGTGAACACATTGATGGGACATCATTCCTGGGAACTTTTAAAGGATTTGACACAGACTGGACATTTAAATGGTCTCTCAGTCATGTGAGGTTGCTGGTGTTGGAGTCGGTAAATCCCTCCCCACACACAAAGTAGGTGAATGGTCTCTCTCTAGTGTGATTTCGTGAATAGATTTTCAGCTCAGGCAGGGATCTGTGTCGATTTCCACAGTGCCTCCATTTCCATGCTCTTTCCCATTTGTGACTGCATTTGTGTTTTAAATGATTGGCTGCAGTCACTTGCACACATTGAACATGTACTGTTTCTCACGACTGGGAACAGTGTTCTTTCCTTCTGCGTTTGCAATCTGATGATATTCGGGTTATGACAAACTGCACAACTCTGATGAAACAGAAAGGAGAGCTAGAGAGAACCCACAGAAACACAAAGGCAGGTTGTGAAAAGGAGGTGAATGAACCTCTAATTTGAGGGGCTGGCTGAGGAAACGTTGACCATGAAAGCTACTGAATTGTTGTAAAAA